AAAAATAAAAAAGTTTTTGAAACTGAAAAAAGATGCAATCAAACTAAGACAAGATGTTTGATTTTTTTTCTAGTTTCTAATATACTTTTTTCAGTTTCAAAAACTTTTTTATTTTTCAACAAAACTTATGGCACTAAATTAGCTCCATACCCTTGAGGTTAAATCTGCTGTAAAACAGCGMCATGAGCAGCAGGTGTCAGAGTTGTTCCACTTTTAGCGGCGTAAACAAACCTGGACAGAAAAAAGAAAAGAAAAAAGGGGAAAAACTCAGTGAAGTGTGCGTGAGTGAAGAAATGTGCCTGCGTGATTTGTTGTCGTGCACGCACCGACCAGTCAACACTATCGGACACGGGTTTTCCTCACCTTGTGAGGACTTCCTGCTGGTGAAACAGCTGGCGCGTGTTCATGTGCGCACTCAGGATGGACAGGATCAGTTAGGTAAGCAGCGGGGTGTCGACAGGTAGAGGAAAACTACACCTTTGCCAGTTTTACTGCACCTCCTCTCGGTTGAAGGTCCGTCTCCAACCCCCACCACCCCCGCTTCTCTTCCTGAGCTTATCCGCCTCTGCTGCGCGCTCCACCGGCCTCTACCTCGGTRTTTACCTCGGCAGAAGACATGGGGGAGAAATCAGACATTCCCAACGAACTTTTCGGTAAGTTTTTAGTGAAACTTAACCTGTAACTACTTACCTCTGAGGCAGCTTTTTCAAATTAAAGCTACATCAAAAATATTATCATAATTTAATTTAAAAGGCTCATATAAATTTATTATTAGAGCAGATGATCCTGTTTAGGCCTACTTTAAAGTTTAAGTTGCAATCAAACTTGTTTTTAAACTATAAAAAGTACTGAGAAACTGAAGTTTTATTAATCATTAAACATAAATCAGAACTTCCAACTCAGAAAGTCTTAAGTTTCACGTCACTGCAGTGAAAAACTGATTTTCATGCCCTGAGGGTCTCTCTGGCTGCCTTCAGGTTTGTCGTCTCCCAACTTCCTTATCTGAGAGTCAGGGCTTTGGAAAGAGGGGTGTGTCCTGTGAAATTCCTTTGGATTGTGAGATATTATCAACACAGACTGCCTGGATGACTGAGTCTCAACAGGAACAGTAAATCACTGCAATTTTCCTGCACAAACTAGGCTAAACTGTTGACTTTAAAGTTAAACATTGTGCTTTCTTGGCCTGAGTTTCACCGACGTTGACCTTTAGACTCTAATATTGGACTAAAGATTTGATATCTGTTATGTTGGCACAGTTTCTTGCTGTTTAAGCAAAAACAAACAATTTGTCATGGATCTTATGAAAGAATAAGAATAGGACTAGTTGCAAAAAGTGCATACAAATAATCATTAAATGCAGTTTAAGCTCCTACTGTCATTARTAAAACTGTGCATGCTGATGCTGTCTCACAACCTCGTGCTCCCTGTTAYACTGTCTGCAGCCCAGGATCACACTGTACTGTAGGTCTCCACACCGAGCGATGAATGAGGCTTTTTGTTACAAACCCTAGTTCTGGTTGAGCTGGGACCGAGTGACCCGACGCGCTTCATCATCAGTAATTCAAAACGGAGGAAGGAAAAGGCTCATCGCGTCGGCACTTTTTTTTTGGAYTTTTAGATGCTGAACGAATGAAAACTGAGAAGAGTAAAGGGGGAAAAAAGTGAGAACAGAAAGGAAAACAAATGTTCAGGAAGTTAAGCACTGACAAAAACACAAAAGGAGTTTTGTAACCTTATTAACAGGAATGTCACAAACAAGTTAGATTTGTCTTTGGCGACGTTCACACTGCAGGTCTTATTTCTGAATTTTTTTTGGCGTGAACGTTTATATCACATTTTACATGCGACCTCCATCAGACTCCAGTGTGAACTCTACACAGGGCTGGGCGGTATGACCTCAAATTCATATCACGGTATAAATTGAAACCCTTCACGGTAACGGTATATATCGTGGTAGAAAATTGTCATTTATCTGTTTTATCTGTTTCTGCTTTTATTTCTAATTATGTCAGTTTCAGTCCTCCTTACTGCAGACCTTGGAAGAGGCAGTTCAGTGACTCAATCAGGTGCGTTGGAGCCAGGAAAAATGTAAAACATGTAGGGCTGTGGCCCTCCAGGACCATGATTGCCCACCCCTGAGCTAGCTGTKTGTTTACAGAGTWAGCTAAACATGCTACTTGTAGCGTATCGATTCTGAAGCTGCTGTTCATTCAGAGATGATTAAATAATTATCTGACATGTTTGTTTAGTTCAGTGTTTACATCCGAAACTGCCTCTGACTGGGATATCGAGTGCAATATTTTATTTTTGGAACATATTGCTTAAAGTTTCGAACTTTAGGATCGATACGGTTCGCGACCAAAGTTGGACGCTGCTATCATGTTTCTGCGGTTCCTGGTCAAACGGGACATGGAAAATGAAAAGAAAAAAGACCTCTTCAGAGTGTCATAAAAAAATCAGATTTGGGTCTCATTTGCCTGCTATTGAACCCTWGAAGAAACCATAGAAGAAACAAGTGAAGTATTTATTAGAAAACTGTYCAGTGATGTAACAAACTGAGTGACAGCTTTCTGTTTTCTTAAAGATGTTAAAGTTTATTGTTCCTGTGACATGACTCGCCCCCTGCTGGTCAGTAATTAGAATGCAGCTATTGGCCTTATTTCTTGGACCCRAAGAACCACATTCATCTTTTATATCTTGCTCTTATCAAACGGCTCATTTGACTTTTGCACCGCATTAGTTTGGTTGGAGAAGGTGACGGTGTGTGAAGGTCAAGCTTTATAGACGTATGAGTTAATGATGGGGGATCAACACATGTAAGAGCTTACATAACAAAGCGCTGTTCATCAGACAACAAACTGTTGCAGCTCTTTTGGTTTCACAATTCAAGCTTCTGTAAAACAGAAACTAAGACCTGTTTAGATATAATAAGGTTTTAAATCAGTTTATTCACAGTATGTAAGTTGTCACAGAGTGTCCCTAATTTAAATCTAATTACAGTCAGTTCAGTCCAATCATAAAACAAGACAGATTCAAATAAAATTACTACCACTGCCAGGTTTTAAACACTTCATAGAGATGTTTCTTCATTTGTCAGGCGTTTTTTCACTCGGTGGCTGCAGAACGAGAGCAAAGCTTTGTTTTACTTTTACTTGTCGGAGGTTTTTTTAAACTAATTAGGGAAGATCATAGCTCTCATGTGAGCGAGTTGGACGCAGAGCGAAGCCCATGTGTTTCTCATCAGCCTCTCCGCCGCTTCGTGCCGTCATGTTTTGATTCTTCCCACGATGACCTCATCACKGGTCTGCTCTCAGACTGGAGGGGGAGCGACATGATGTCATGAAGGCGGTCCGGAGTTCTCATGCGCCCTCACCCCTCCTTTACAACACTCTGTCACACTCATCCAAATTTCACTTTTATATTACCTTTCCTTCTTGTCTGGCTACGATCCTCCCCTCCCACTTTTCTTTCCATCTGTTCTCTGATTCTCTTTCTTTCTACAGATGCAGAAATTCTACGTCTCCAGCAGCTAAAGCAGACATTGTTTCTGTGAAGTTTTCTATAGATTTCCCACAATTCAAGAGCTCATTAAAATGTCAACTGTATTCAAGATGGCCGCCTAAAACACACAAAAAACGWCTATAACTTAAAATGCTTTGACCTGAAATTTGGTGTCTGAGCGCCRTGGCTGTTAGCAAAATATCTCATGAACAGGCTCAGGATGTGATCATTTAATTAAGAAGCCACAGCCAACTAACTTTAGAAAACACAAATATTGCTATAATTCACTTTCAGTTCTTTATCCATTTCATTAAAACAAAACAAATAATTTTATATACAATAAAAGAAAAATATAAAAAGAAAAATGGGAGAAAAAGATATATATCAAAAATCCCAAATAAAATGAAATGCAGCAGAGAAAAGAAAAAAATCTTATATCCGCCCCTTTTTTCTAGAATAAGTTCATATAACAAAAAATCTGTTGTTAACAAAACAAAAGAACATCTAATCCATTTAGAACAACATGTACCTTAAACTGTTTCATATTTCTTTAGCAATCCAACTTTTATCATTTTCTTAAACCTACACAGTGATCCTGCATTTTTTTACATCACTCCCCAAATTATTCCGTAGTTTTATTTCTTGAATTAAAGTATGCCGTTCTTTCAAACTGAATTTGGGTTTTACAAATATCTCTGTCCCTTTAAGGTTATAGCAACTCTTTCTCTTAACAAAATGTACTTGGATGTTTAAAGGTAATGTGTTTTTGTGGGCCTTATACATAACCAGTAGAATATTATAATCAACCAAATCAAAGAACTTCAATATTTTCATTTTACAAAATAATGAATTTGATGGGTGACGACAATGTTTTCCAGTAATAATTCTCACAGGTCTTTTCTGTAATAATAAAAATAATTGTCTGACACACTTTCCCCCGACTTAAATACAATAAGTGTGGACCTATTATTGCATTATACAACATATACAGTGCTTTATCATTAAATAACTCCCTTACTTATACAGAACAGCAATAGATTTAGCCATCTTTGTTCTTAATTAATTTATGTGAGGTCTCCATGTCAACCCTAATTACATCACATCTACAGGTATTAAGCTAAAGTTTGGTGTGGTTGTAGCTGAGGCTCAGACTTTAAAGTGTGTCATGTATCGATGAAGGGTTTGACACCTCCCTTGTGTAATTATTTGTAACGTGACCTCCCTCCTGCTGTCACCGTGTTGATTTGTTTTTTTTTCTCCGCCCTGTGTTGAAGAGAGCGTGCGGGAGGCGGTGGGTCGGAGGGTGAAACTGACCCTGAGGCGCAGAGTCCAGCTGGAGGTCAGAGGTGACAAGGTGGAGCCCAGAGTCCTGGTGAGTGAGAGCTGCTTCAGGTTTCTTTTGTAGGTGAACTGTAACGTGAAGACCCCCTCAGCACTTTGCCTTCATCCTGTTAGGCCTCTTTAATAAAGKGATGTGACTGGTTTTAACTCTGTTAAACCCCTACTGTTCACACCGATCTAACARTGTCTCAGCATATTACTGATGCCAGCCCTCCCTTTTACACAAATACAGTTTCACCCCCCGTTCGACCTCCTTCACCAGCTCAGAGGCTCAGTTCTACGTGCAGGACGCTGATGCACCACTGAGACGCACTCCTCTCGAAGGGAGCCGTGTGAAAACCGCTTTCTGGTGGTCTGGTCTGCAGGCGGCTGTTAAATATTTTTGAATGATTGCGTCTGCAGGAGCTGAGTGTAAAAAGTCCCGCTGCTGTGAGTCAGGATGTGAGTGCTTCCCCCCCTTTTTTTTTAATCCTCAGCAGCTGTACAGCTGCAAACTGATAATAATAGATTCATTGGAGACGATGCAGAGCTCACTCTCCTCTGTATTTTCAAATAAAGACTCGTAATACTTTTTTTGTTGTTTTGGTTAATTCAAAGTGTAAAAGTGGAACAGGGGAGATGATGGTAAAACGACCTGTTGACCTTAAGGTTTGGGCTTTGAACAGATCAGTAAAGTTTTTGTGACAAACTGTTAGAATTCTGTTTAAAATGCCATTAAATGAGACATATCGTTAAAAAAATCCACTTTTTAGCCATTAAATACATTTTGTTGTGGACTTAAAGTCTCCAGGAGGCAGAAAAGTTTAATTTAGTCTCTCCTGGTGCTGCGAAGATATCTTTATATTCTTGTAAGAAAATACATGTTCAATAGACTGAAGTCGATATTAAAACCATCATTGTTAAATAAAATGATTTGTAGAAGGAATAAAACCATACAAAACCAGAATTCTGGATCTGAGTGAGGTTTATTGCCACTGGAGCTGACAGGAAACCACACTGGCGAAAAACCAGGAAGTTCATCAATTTATACATGATTCTTCAATGCCTGTGTTCGCCCCCTTCTGACCTACGGCTGAATCACAGGCATTCAGACAAAAATCTCATCTACTGTTATCATAACGTTTTAATTATGTGTTGTCATAATTCGGACATGTAACTAATCTATATCAATCAAAACATTATTATAAAACATTATTATAATTATAAAAAGGAAAACCTAAAAATGTAGTGTTGTGCTTTTAACATCAGTACTAAGCTCTAATAACTATAAATTTCTTCATTCTGTTTGGGCCATGTTTTTCAAATTTTCTCTATTTTATATGGTTTTCTGAACTTTTGCATTACAGGATTTGCAACAGAATTTCCAAATAAGGTCTGGACTTACCAACTGGAATTTCATTGTCTTTATTCTCCTCTGGGTCAGACTCTGGCTCGAACATGTAAGGCTGGATGGACAAGTTTTCCCKTGGTGACAATGACATCTGTAAATAATAAGGTTCTGCGCAGCTATGTAGTCGTAAACCCTGTTATCAAGTAGGGGTGTAAGAAAATATCGATACACTGAAATATCGCGATATTTCATTTCCCGATACTGTATCGATATTCTAAAGCCCTGTATCGATTTTTAATTAAGGTTTAAAATGTCAAACTTCTTGCCAACCGTTCATTTTTACATTGTAGTTCAGCCTCTGACCACTAGTTGGCAGCAGTGAGCCAGCCATTTGGCTCCTCTACCTCTTGAGCGCCAGAGAGTAAGGGTAGCATTAGCATTGTAAGTAAACATTAGCTTTTTTTCAGTAAGAGGTTTTTATTTAATAGAATTTTTGGACAAAAAAATTGCAATATATCGCAAAATATTGCCTTGCTTACAGTATCGCAATACATCGGGACATATCGTATCGTGACCCTTCTGTTATGATATGTATCGTATCGCCAAATTCTTGCCAATACACAACCCTACTATCAAGAGCGAACCGAGCTGGGGGCAGCAGGGTGTGAAGCGCCTCGTTTGGTTTTAAAGAGACAGCCTCAAAAGGAGTTGGTCTGAGATGCATCTCAGAAAAGAGGCGGGGCTTGTGGAGTTACAATAAGGAGGAATTCAGACCAACCCTTTGCAGTTCTGTTTTATATAACTGATGGATTTAAATGTGAAAAAGATTTAAAAGCATCATGTCTCTTTTAAACACTAATTTAATTAATTTTGTTTTGAAATCACATGAAAATAAACAGAACGACTGATCAAGATGATTTAATGCATAATGTAAGACTTGTTGAAAGGTGGTGAAGACAGTAGAGACACTTTGCTAAAGAGTGTGGGTGTTACTGCAGCAGGGTGTCTGATTTCATAGCTGCAGGTGTGCTTTTTCTTCCTTAAATACAAGTAAGCATATTAAATAAATAACTGGATATAAAGACTAAAAACAGGTACATTCTGCTTAATTCTCCCTGTTTTTCTTTAACCACACAAGTCCGGTTTTGTAAAAGTTTTAGTTATTTTTAGCTTTTCTTTTCTTTACTTTGCTCACATACCAAAGCTCTGCAAGTCCTGTCATGACTTGACTAAAGCAGCCCACTCACAGCCACAGGGCGTTTGGACACTCACACACACAGCATTCCACAGGTGCAGATTTTCAGATTAAAAGCACGTTGCGATAGTTTCTTTTAAATAAGGCGTTAACACTTAGAGAAACTTTACTGCGCACATCATTTAGCATCATCCATTCTGTTTCTTAAAAAATAAAATATTTGTCACATTTTTGTTTTGAATAAGTCCAGAAAAGTGAGTGGCGGGAAAAAAAATCCAAATTTTACAAATAAAAAAGCATGAGAAGCCTTCAGAACGTGGAGAAGGAACGCTCAAGGCCRCTTTGACGATAACAGATGGTCTGGGTCCTTGGAAATAAAATCTAAAGAAAAAAGGAGGAACTCGAGACTTGTTGCACTCTACTGTAAATTCAACACATAAAATAATGTTTTATTTATTCCTCTCTTCATTCCCTCACTTTATCATGGGAAGAATGTAATCTGACTTGAACCGATCGTTTGAGTCGAACGTCTCACACTTGGCATGAGARCACGTTGCTAATTTTGTCAGCTTGAAACGGAGCAGCTCTGGCTGAGTGAGGAGTCAAAATATGCACTCGCTCTCTGCCAAAGCAGCAGTTCAACACGTGGTCGAAGATAATATATATTATTATCCTGCTCAGTGGAAAAAAAAGCCTCTCCAGAGGCCACTCGCTCCTCGCTGCTCTCTGTTAGTCGGGGGGAAAATGGTGCTGGTGTTCAACAGCAGGAGGGAATTATCTTCGTGTTTTAGTCTGACTTTTAGTTTTATTTTCAGAAATTATTCCTAGACATTTCCTCTGACCTCATCACTGTTCTACAAAGTGATTTATACRTCTGAACATATAACACACTTGTAAAGATTCCCAGCTTTTAAAKGGGACAAATGCAAAATCTACAAGGAGACAGAAAAGTTGAGTTTAGTCTCTCAGGTGTAGATATCATTTGGATTTAAAGAGACAGCCTCAAAATGAGTTGATCTAAGAACTCAGTGGTGAAAGAGGGGCTTGTGGAGTTACAGTGTGGAGGAATTCTGACCAAAGCATTGCAGTTCCACTTTATAAAGATCCAAACTGAAGGATTTAAATGTGAAAAAGAAAATGTCTCCTTTTAAGGCAAATAACACTTGAGACCAAATATCCCTAATTAAACAAAAACATGTTAATATCTATCACATCTTATGTCATCTAAGCTTATTGTACAGGACTCCTTCCTCTCTTTGAACATGTCTCCTTTGTCTTTGTCTTTTCAGGCTTTGGCATCACATCGAGCCTATCTGTTGACAGCTCGGGTCCCTTCTAAGGTACGCTTTTGTTTTAGTCTTTAA